CATCGTGATGATGCGAAAGTGAATTGCTCTTAATACTAGAAGAGCCGGATTTTGAACTTACCTAATACCGCCATTTGGGGTTAATTTGAGCCTTATGACAAATTAATGTTATTCCAAATAAGCCATTTTAAATGATGAATATTGTTAGAATTACAGTAGATAATGGCTTTTGGAAATTATAAATTTTCTTTTTTTATTCATATAATGCCAATATAACAACCTGGTATAACATCGTATAATAGATTATTCTTTGGCTGGAGCATAAGTCTTACGCATTTAAACAAATAACGCAAATATGAAACATGCACATTAACATATTTTAAAATGTGGAAGTTATGTAATTTGTTAATTTTGCGTTTTAGTACATAGCTTATTTTTAATTCAATTAGTACCTATTCCCAAAATTAATTGAAAATTATTGACGTAAGTAATAGTTTGAGTTTGCCGATTTTTTTGGTGCTCTTAAACAAATTAGTACTATTTCTTCATTGATTTTTCATTAATTAACCGATGATACCACGATCACTTTGATCATTTAGTTAATCTGACATAGCGGATAAAAAACAATTAAGTATTACAGAACGTGCAATGAACAATTGTTTTGATTAGAGTACAAATATGGCTGGTGATATTTTAAAAATATTTGACAATACTGAATAGTCTATACTTATTTCTGAAACATTGGATTCCGTTAAGCAGATGAGAAAATGCAATTTTATAAAAGTCTCTGTATAAAAAATATAATTAAAATATCAAAAATCGGGCTTCTCAGTTTGTTTACATTTGTCTTCGTGTTGATTTTGGTATTTTTAAAGCTTACGGTATTTGTGCAATCAGGAATAAAAACATACAGACACACACACAAATTATTTATGTATGATAGCTCTGTTATCTTGCTAGATATTCTTGATTATTTGCTAGATTAATTGTTCTTATTCGAATGGATTATTTGTTGTCTTTCTTGGTGGCTTTACGTTTTTATGTCAAGCATAATACGATTTTTGTAGTTCATCCCATCAGAATAAGAGATTACCTGTATTTAGCATCACTTAGCGTGATGACATTGCTTGCGGGCAATTTATGATAGTCAAAATTTACCACTATCAGTGAATTTTCTCCGGTACATATCCTTTCCGAGAGATCTCCTTGCACTTGTCGTACATTCCTTCACATTTTCAATTTCATAGGTTCTGTCAAGTTAAGTTTATAAGTTTCTGTAAAGTTAAACAAAGAGTAACGTGTAAGTAATGCTATTAAATTTACCAGTGGACTATTGACTTTTGCCAGTTTATCCTGGTCAATTGTTTTAACAAATGTTCTCCCATTTTTTGTTAATTTTAGGAAAAAAAATAGATAAGAATAAACCTATTCTCTTTTATATCAACACATTTTTATTTCAAGCATCGTTCTTTAATTTATTTATTTTACTCAGAAATAAATAGATTTTTTTTTTACATTTTAGCTCGCTCTATAATCAAGAGAAATTCAGCATCGTTCTTATAATTTATAGTATACACTAAAACGAGAAACATAAAAAAAAAACTGCCTTTATTTAAACTTTGAAAAATCAAAAACTATTTCCAACTGCCCTTAATTTTCAGAAATTTAAGAATAGGATACCAAATATCAAATTAAATTTTAAGAAAATTTAAATGAAATTAAAAAAAAATAATTGAAAAGAAAATTATTCAAAAAAATATTAAAAAGATTTCAATAAATATTCGGGAAAAAAGTGTATCTCTGCATCAGCTCATACGATTATATCTGCTAAAAGGAGTGCTTTTTAATAATGTATCAACATAGCCAAAGCAAAATACGCCAATACAATTTTTTTCCGAATTTTTTTTGTATTTTGCAAAATTTTTTTCATAATTTCCCTCTTCTCTTTTCATTATTTTGTGATTTTCTCTACATTTGAACTTCGTTATATATATAGACATATTTCTTTAGATAAAAACATGGCAAAAACGCGTTTTACTTATATTAAAGCTGAAATCTAAAATAAAAAATAAAAACTGATTGAAATTTTTTATTATTTTTCTTTTTGAAAATGCACGGTAAGAACAAACTTTGGAATACTACAGGAATTCCTGATATCCTATCTTCATTAAATAATTGCGACTAAAATAAAGCAAAATATCACACAAATTTAAAGCTAATCACTCTGCGGGAAGTATTTAATTCTTTAATGTTGAAAACTGTAATCATCGTTCATGATATAATCGACCAGAAATAAACAAAAATATGACAGGAGCACTAAATTATAACCATAGAGTATCGAATAATCAAATCTTCTGTATCTATACTAACCATTCTATTAAGTGCTAGAGAGGCCAACTGGACAGGGATAAAGTTTTGGAAAAGCATCGTGATGATGCGAAAGTGAATTGCTCTTAATACTAGAAGAGCCGGATTTTGAACTTACCTAATACCGCCATTTGGGGTTAATTTGAGCCTTATGACAAATTAATGTTATTCCAAATAAGCCATTTTAAATTATGAATATTGTTAGAATTACAGTAGATAAAGGCTTTTGGATATTATTAATATTTTTTTTTATTCATATAATGCTAATATAACAACCTGGTATAACATCGTATAATAGATTATTCTTTGACTGGAGCATAAATCTTACGCATTTAAACAAAGAACGTAAATATGAAACATGCACATTAACATATTTTAAAATGTGGAAGTTATATAATTTGTTAATTTTGCGTTTTAGTACATTGCTTATTTTTAATTTAATTAGTACCTATTCCCAAAATTAATTGAANGCGTATACCGGGATGTGACAGGTTATGAAATTTGGAAAAAATTATTTGTCGATAAGATTGAGGAATAAATGGACGTGCAACATTAGTAGAAGTATCACAACAAAGTATTATACCGTCAGGAGGATATACAATATTTTTGAAAACTAAACTAGAATTAGCTGACGACTTTAAAGTGCTAAGTTCGGGATCGGATTTTTGCGCTGCTGCAAGTTCAGCGTAGTCCATTGGACCAGTGAGTGCTATTTCCTCAATGCGGGAAAGTGCATCAGCAACAACATTTTCTTTTCCAGGCACGTGACGAATCGACGTTGTAAACTGACTTATATACTGTAAATGTCGGTTTTTACGAGGTGAAGAGTCATCCGATTTTTGCTGGAATGCGAAGGTCAGCGGTTTATGATCCGTTAGCACATGGAATTCTCTTCCCTCTAACATGTGAGCGAAGTACCGTATGGAAGAGTAGACTGCGAGTAACTCTCTATCATACGTACTGTATTTTCTTTCCGTGAGCGTGAGTTTGCGAGAAAAGAATGCTAGAGGTTCGAGTGTGGAGATTTTTAGCTGTTGAAGGACTGCGCCTATGCCGATGTCGGACGCATCTGTATGCAAAAACAATTTTGCAGCGGGTGTGGGGTGTGCAAGTGTTGCTGCATTAGAAATAGCTTGTTTGCAAGTTTCAAAAGCGCACACAGCTTCGGTAGTCCAATTAATGGGTGTATGGTCTTTTTATTTGTGAGTAAGGAACTAAGGAGAGATTGTTTTTCGGAGGCGTGATCTATAAATCTATGGTAAAAATTGAACATTGCTGAAAATCCTCGTAATTCCGATACAGTTTTGTCCCGCAGTGGACTGATCGTTAAGACACGGTTCCCAGCAGATCACCGAAGTCAAGCATCACTGGCTACGGTCAGTGTGCGGGTGGGTGACCACTTGGATCAGTCTGCGTAGGGACCGAGGGTGTGCGGTATTGGTCCTCGTTAAACTGTGCTATCGTAAAGTGCTCGACTTCACGCGCAGGTCGTCGGGCTACCGAAGCGGGGGTGCCATCCCCTCCGCAGAGGATCAAAATTGTGATGGCATGTCTTCGGATCATCCTCCGGGATGTTTCCCAAACCGTCGCCAATAGCCCATTGTGCAGCTCTAATGCGACGTAAATTAACAACAACAACAACAACAGTTTTAGGTTGGGGAAAATCGGTAATTGCGGACACTTTACAAAGTGAAGGAGCAATTCCATCGGGAGACACTTCAAAACCTAAAAATGTTAACTTTGATTTTCCAAACACACATTTTTCGGTATTCAAAACAATCCCGTATTCATCAAAACGTTTAAAAACTATATTTAAGTGAGTTAAGTGTTCTTTTAAAGTTCTGGAAGCAATTAAAACGTAATCAAGGTATACGAAACAAAATTCTAATCCCCTTAAAACGACATGCATGAAGCGTTGGAAAGTTTGTCCTGCATTGCAGAGCCCAAACATCATTTTAGTGAATTCGAATAAGCCAAAAGGGGTTATAACAGCTGTTTTTTCAATGTCTGCTTCCGCGACAAGGATCTGATGATACGCTCGAACAAAATCTAACTTTGAATAAATTTTTGAGTCATTTAGGCTATAAGCGAAATCACGAATGTGTGGGAGAGGGTATCTGTCTGGTATTGTAATAGAATTTAACCGTCTGTAATCACCGCATATTCTCCAAGTGCCGTTTGACTTCGGCACCATATGAATGGGACTTGCCCATGGGCTACTTGAAGGCCTGCATAAGCTGGTTTTTAACATATAATCAAATTCTTTTTCAGCGGTTGCAAGTTTATCCGGTGGCAAACGTCTAGCTTTTGCAAACACTGGAGGACCTGTAGTTTGAATATGATGCTGAACATCATGAGTTGAAGTGTTGAAAGTTAAGTTATTTGTACATGTGCGAGGATACTGCAATAATAATTTTCCATAAACAGCATCTTCTGCAATAGTTGTTAAACCCAAAGAGAAGGTAGGAAATGTTTCCCCCTTAATACCAGCGTAAGTTAAGGAATCAATTAATTTTTTATTTTTTAAATCAACCAACAATTTAAAATGGGTAAGAAAAACCGCTCCTAAAATTGGTTGAGTAACGTCAGCGACATGAAATTTCCATTGAAATCGCCTGGAAATTCTGAAATCTAAAGTAAATGTTGTCTGACCGTACACTGCAATTTTCGAACCATTAGCAGCATAAATATCAAAAGATTTATTAGAAATTAAATTTTTCTGCAGATGTGTTTTTGGAATAACTGAAACAGAAGCCCCGGTGTCTATAAGAAACTGGCGGTTGGTGAGTCTGTCGTATACAAATAGGCGACTTTGACTAGGACCTATATCTGCCGTCGCATGAACAGAGGGTCCAATCAGTTTTCCGAATTTTGAGCGTAATTGCAAGGAGGAATGCATTTATTAGCTTTAGTACCGAATTTATAGTGATACCAGCATAGAGGTCCAGCCACAGTGCGCTGTGTCGACCTTGAACGAGAACCTTGTCTACGTGTGCTAAATTTATTTTTATTCCGATATTGTTGTCTAGACAAACGTGTAACGGTCTCGGAAAGTTTACGAATTTCATCCTCCAATTTTTGAAAACGCGAATTGTCATCTGTCACATTTATAGAATTAACTGTCAATGAATTTTGAGTTACTTCCAAAATTTTATCGGCTTTCTCGGCTAGGAGAGATAAATTTTGCTCACCTTTTTCCATGCAAACTGAAAGAATTTGTTGCACGGAGACCGGTAAACGCTGAAGAAAAAGTGAACGTAAAATTTCTGTGCTTATAGAATTACCAGCGAGATCTTGCATGGAGCGTAATAAGTGAGAAGGTCGTTTATCTCCCAATTCTAAGTCTTTAAGAAGCATTTTCAAACGAGCAGTTTCGGAATCTGCATAGTTTGCAATTATTCTATTTTTAATCGTTTCATATTTATTATCAGTAGGTGGCTGCCGAATAATATCCGAAATTAAAGTTAGAACGTCTCCATCTAGAGCAGACACAACGCAGTGATATTTTGTGTCGTCGGCGCTTATCCCAGATACGACAAACTGAGATTCCAATTGAATAAACCACACTTCTGGATTAGCGCGCCAAAACGGGGGTGCTTTAAAAGCGACGCGAGCAACATCTGCCACGCTTTCAGAAGCAGTAATTTCGTCAGGCATTTTGTTTATATGAGCGAGTCAGAGAGCAAAAAGTAAAAGGCATGCACAATAAATCACAAATTAAAATTTCTAATCGAAGTATATCAAACATAAGTTAATAAATGCATTTTGAGAAAGAATGCAAAATACAGTTGAAGAATACTTCATTTTAAATTAAAATTATTGTAAGTGATAAAGTTGAAACTAATTAATTGTATTTCTTATACTCTAATTAAAAATTCATTGCTTTTCACACATTGTAATTGAAATTTATAGTAAATTAAGATTAGAGTAACAAAGTTTACGAAATTGAAAAGTAGTTATTAAATGTCAAATATAATGACAGAATATTTTAAAAAGTTCAATTAACTTTATAGAAATATTAAAAAATTTGCATTATCTTAAGCATTTATAAATTTAAATTTCATCTAATATTTGAAATAAATGACCATATTTACGTCGTAGAATAAGCTTACTGAACGCCAGTTGACACCACCATGAAAGAAACACATTCTATTTGCAGACTATACGTGTTCTATGTCCAAACGGGTCACCACTTTTAGGCCCCCGTGTCTTCGAGGGTCTATTGAACGTTATGCATAAGGAAAGAAATATCATTCATACATAAACTAAATTTATTAACTAAAAACAAGAACACAACCATCTGATCTGACGGCCGAGAATGAAAAAGTAAAGCTGGAAAAATGAAAAACCAAATTACAACTACAGTTGTCAACCGAACTTTGCCAACGGTGTTAAATATACTTAAAGCTTTAAATAAAGATAGGTGAGGCTAGATCTATAGCTCACCATAAGCAGCACTAATTATATAAATACATGTGTCAAAAACCTTATTAAGAGAGAAATTTATCTTAGGCTAATAGCGGAAGACATTTTACAGATAATTTAAATTGTCATCCCACATTTATCAACAATTCATTGTCCATGAAAATAAACTGCATTGATAGTTGATAGTTAGAATCTTTGTTGCCTCCTCTGGTGGAAATGAATATAACTAATTCATAACATAACCATCACATTCTGTTTAGTGATAATTTCTAAGCATATTTTTGTCATGCAGCGATAAATATGATAAACAGTGTGTCAAAAGTTTCAAGCTTTATTAATCATTTGATTTCTACATACAATGCCTGTCCTTTAAACTATAGTTAAAAGCTATTATTTATCGTCATAACTTCTAACCATCTATTTATTTGGATGGAATTTATTGTAAATAAATAATTTAGTTTAATTTTGTTTATAATATAAGCTCGCTCTTATGGTTGTTAATGCACTGCGTTTGATTCAAAAATTGTTAAAGGTGACATGAGTCGAGCATTTAACAATAGGCACCCATTCTCAAGACGCTTCAGAGGAGACGTCAATGAGGAAAACAAAACATAGTTGAAAAAAATAGCGCAAAGTTACCAAAAAATTTAAAATAGGTAAATTTCAAATACAAAGCTATAAAATCACGGAGTCTGAAAAAGACAAGACAGAACAAGATATTTGTGTCAATCGCTATTGAGAAGTATTCATGTCGTTAACCAGCCAGTATCCATATGGATGAAAAAAAATTTCCTAGTATCAAGATGAGCTGATGCGACAGGGAAGGAATTTTTTTCTTCCTTTATACGATATTTTTGTTTTTTAATACTACCATGCTCCCTGTACACTTTTAACTCCTCCCTTTATTTTAATTTCAAGTTTACAAGTCTTAGTTTTTAATATTTAGTAATATAGTTTATGAACAGCAAAATGAAATGTAGTGTTATGTTCTGCGAAGCCAGAAAATTTGAGAACTAGCGGGAAAACACTAAAAATGTCATTAATTTTAGAGCAAGTTGGAACTTTGAAAAAAAATCGTGTTTAGTTTGTAAGAGACGCATGTTTTTTTCAGCACATCATGTTTCAACTCCGCAGTTCCGTATCTGACGACATTCGAGGAACTCGCCGGGAATTGTTTTGACAAATTCAACAGTTAATGATTTTCGAAGTGATATCTTAATATTATTTGTTTATTCCATAGAAGTCCTTGTACTTTTTTTTACATCCCTTCACATTTTCAATTTCATAGTTTCGGGCAAGTTAAGGTAATAAGTTTCTACCAAGTTAAGCATAAAGTAACGTAAAAGTAACTGAACTAAATTTACCAGTAGACTACTGGATTTTGCCAGTTTCTCCTGGTCCATTGCTTTTAACAAAAAGTCTCCTGCTTTTTGTTAATTTTCGAAAATTCTCAGAAAACAGTTTGAAGTTTTTTTCTTTCCTTTTTTGCTCTAATATTTTTATTTTATTTTATTCAGAGCCTCCTTTTTAAATTAATCAAAAAATCGTTCAACAATCAATAATGAATTATATATCCATTACTATTCGATATCCAATTCATTTAATGCCAATTATCAATGGAAAATATTGCAGACCATTTATAGTTATTAGTGTAATAAAGTTTTTGTATTTTGATGACAAGAAAAACCCCTAAAATTCCCTATATGTAACATATTTAGTATAGCAATTATCATGAAATTTATGTAATTTGTAATATCTACAGGATATTGTATCTACTTCTATGTTGGCAGCAGCTAAGAATTCCAAAAACACTGCCGGTGGTGTCGTTTATATTACTATTATTATTTAATATCGGGAGATTAGTCTCATATCTAATTAGGTGTTAGTACTTTGTGTTCTACTTCAGAAGAATTTGCCGTAAATGAAACGTTTTCTGTTGTTCACCAAAACTTTCAGAAACGTTACCGAAAGTTTTTAATTACTTCTTGCTCAGTTGCAATATAGTTTACATATATTTTTTTCCTATTTATTAGCCTTCCACCTTATCTTTTAACTATTTTTCTTTGTTGCAAAAATTGAAATTTAAATATCCTTCATATTATAGACCACCAATATACTATCAATATTATTGGTCTCCAACATCAAATTATGCAGCTCTAGTTCGACGCTGTTGTTATTACTCATTCCCTTGGTGTAAGAAAGCCTATACCAGGTCCAAAGGGTAGCCTGAGAATTTTCTTCTGCTCAACCAATAGCTGCCTCTAAGAGGCTTCTATCCAATTAAGAATGTGAGCAGGACTAGCGAGTAGGGAGCAAGGAGAAAAAAATCTTTTCCCTATTCTGAAATTTCATGCCTTTCAAGTGATGCCTTCTGAATCTTTCCAAGGTCGAATATATAGAGTCCTGGGGCACTGCATAACAAAGGCAGACCCGAACCCTTTGCAGCCTACCCGTTAGGAACTGGTGGGAGGTGCCTCGTTGAAAGTAAATTACTTTTGTGGAGCGAGTGGATTTCCGACGGAGTTAACTCAACGGAGTTGGCAATCAGATAACAACCATTTCTAGCAAGAGTATCAGCAATCTTATTACTGTACACCCCAACATGCTAAGGAATCCACTGGAGTCATACTGATTTCCTCAGGCCTAGCTCGGAGAGAAGTACTAGAAAATCCTGGTCAGGTTTATCACACATTTTTGGACAATCTCTTAGGTATTGGATGGCACTTTTACTGTCAGTCAAAATCCAAATACTACTATAATCAGTAGTAAGGGAAAACTCTAGAGCCCTCCCAATAGCAGTAATTTCTGACATCTGATTAAATTCCTAAAATCTGAGAAAAAGTCAGGATTACGGATACTAAATTTAATTTCCTAATCGATGTTGCTGATAAAAACAAAACTTCCCAGCTCCACCGTGTTGCCATCCGTGTGCGTATATTGCCAAGGTCACAAAAAGGATATTATTAATGACCTATGACGCCAACTCTTTTAGAAGTTCAGGATGATCCTCCTGCTTACTAGCGTGGGATTTCAAAACCTCATTGAAACTAATATTCTCAAATGATACTGTAAGAGGCAAACAACTAAAAGTCAATTACGGAACAGTTTTAAAATTCAAGTTCATGGCTAAGGATAATATGTAGCTTCACATAACGACGAAAATAAAGTATCAAGTACTTGTTTAGCAATACTTTTTATGTGGGAAAAAGAAACAATAACGGTTTAACGGTTTCTTCTGCTTTTGCTAGTTTCAAGTTGCAGTCCAACCATTCAAATACACCTGGTGGGAAATGTAGTACCATGTCTGAATTATCGCCCGAATACACTGACGGGAAAATAAAATCACAACAGTCATGAAAACTCTTGATACCAAAGCTTTAAATGATTGTTGAAAAATCATTTTTTCTTAATATGTAGCTTAGAAGAAATTAAACTCATAAATTCAAAGAAATTCCAATTAAAGAAATTGCAATTAAGGAAATTGCAATTAAAGAGATAGCAATTAAAGGAATTGCAACTAAAGAAATTGCAATTAAAGAAATTTCAATTAATTAAATTTCAATAAATTAAATTATAATGAATTTTCTTAAATTAATTTTTAGATGTAAAATTAATAAATTTGAACTTTTAGTACATTCATATGTTGTAGGATATTTTTGAAGTTATACTTCTTATGCGACTTCCAACAAGGTTGCGTTAAACCATGAGGAAGCATAATCACTTTGAT